GTGTTTTCGAACCCGTGTTCGTCACACCCCCCACCTTGCCTCTCCCTCCTCCCACCTTCTCCAGCAAAAGTCTGAGCATGACCCCCCCCCGAAACCCCTTTTGTTCCAAAGCTTGGGGAAAATTCCTGAAAAAACCCAAGTGGGGAGCGGGCCTTTTTTTGTAGGGTGAGGAAGAGGAGGAGACTGTAATGGGGGTGGGTGTAGGGGGTGGGGGATAGGAAGGGGTCCAGAGGAATGGGACTTGGAGGGTGGAGATGGGTCGGCAGAGAGGCCTGACCCAGTCCCCTTTGGCTGCCATCCTGCCCGGCAGCCTCTGCTCCTTTCTCCCTCCCCCTTTCCATTCCCCCCACCTTTCCCCCTTCCCTGACCAGCCCTGGAGGGGTAGACAGAAGGAGGGAGTCCAGCTGCAACACCCCACAACTTGTGTCCCTGGAACTGACATCAGCTGATGCTCTACAACCCAGTTGGGACATACCTCATTGGAGGTGGAGACTGCAGGCTCAGAAGCAACAGGGACTCTTAATGTCTGAGCATTCTGAACCCAGAAGTGGAATACTCAAAGCTAAGTTTTTTTTAATGTTGGGGTTAGAAAAACGTCTGTGTGGGTCTTATAAACAAAGGTGTCTTATAAATGGAAAAATACAGTATTTTTTAAGAACAGGTTTATCAATCTTCTTAACCTCTTCTCCAATGTTTTCTTTGAAAACTGTTTTTGTCCAAAATCCCCTCCCTTCCATGCATTTCTAAACATTTTCATATTAAATTCTTATTGTTGGTTATAATACCTGAAATATATCTCAATTGATTTGCTATATAATAACATTTAATACTGGTTATGTGACGACCTTCTTTTTGTAATATCTACCAACATTTCTTATTAATCCTAGCTTTCTTACTATTGTGGGGACGTGGTGTTGCTGTGGGCTAAACCACAGAAGCCTGTGCTGCAGGGTCAGAAGACCAGCAGTCGTAAGATCGAATCCACATGACGGAGTGAGCTCCCGTCTCTTGTCCCAGCTCCCGCCAACCTAGCGGTTCGAAAGCATGCAAATGCAAGTAGATAAATAGGGACAATCTCGGTGGGAAGGTAACAGCGTTCCGTGTCTAAGTCGCACTGGCCATGTGACCACAGAAGATTGTCTTCGGACAAAACGCTGGCTCTATGGCTTGGAAACGGGGATGAGCACCGCCCCCTAGAGTCGGACACGACTGGACAAAAATTGTCAAGGGGAACCTTTACCTTTACCTTCTTACTATTATTGGAATATGTATAAATCATCATTCACCATTATTTTAACTACTTACCTGAAATCTTTATTGATAACATCCAGAATAGGAAATATAATTTGGGGATCTATTTCATTTTAAATCATGCACTTCTGCCAAACCACAAAATGTTTCATGTTTTATATTCCTTTATCTTCTGACTTATCTCATTCCTCAAACAATCTGAATTCATTTTAAATACATCTTTACCCCAGTGTGCTTTGGAAGAAAGTAAATGAAAAAGCAAAGGCCAAGAAGGTCTGTTCCGTGCACATGGGGGTTGGTGGTCCAGTGGGTGAGCTTTCCTTCATTGGGGCCAAATGAAATTCCCACCTGGTGTGTAAGCTTTGGAGTCCTCCAGAACTCTTCATCAGCTTAAGTAGTGCTTATGTCAGAGTGGCACGGTTTTTTAATAATGCCTGTTGCTGAAGCTCTTGTTCCAGTCACAGCAGTCAAGAAAATCAGGCAAGGCTATCGATATGGTAAAAGGTGACATCCTAGACAGTTTCAAGAATATTGTTTTGGAATATCGTCAGTGGCAAAATAACAAAGTGGAGGGTGATCTCAGTTGGGGTCTTAACTGAGGCTCTGTGGGTAACTTGGATGCCATTTCCCAGGTTGAAGTCAGTGCCACTTATATACTCATCTATTTAACACTATAATTCATGTTGTCCTAAACTTTAATCACTTTGATTATGATAAACAGCAAAAACACATTTCAACTCCCATAAATCCTGACCAGTAGAACTAATAGCAAAGGCTTCTGGGATTTTTAGTCCAGGAACATCTGTGGATGCAAGGTTGGGAACCCCCGGCATAGAAGAAAATATTCACTTTTTTTCAAGTAGTCTCTTGATTTGCATGGGTTAAGTAGCCGTAGCCAAGGGATTGCTTTCTTCCATTGCAATGAGTGTCAAAGACACTAGAGATCAGGGTAGCTCTGGGCAAAACAGACAACTGGATTGAAGTAGTTTATTTTTTTTAAAGGTTTTGGTTGATTGACGTCTAAATGTGTGGAATTCTGTAACATTGGTGGTACATGATTGAAGCATCTAGTACACATGGTCCAGAAATTAAGTTCACCAGGGCATGGAATCTTGAATCCATGAGTAGACCTTTGGTCTAAATGGGTGGGTTAGAAATCCAATCAATCAATCAATCAATCAATCAATCAATCAATCAATCAATCAATCAATCAATCAATCAATCAATCAATCAATCAATCATTCAATCAATCAATCAATCCTGTTAGACAAGATGATCCTTGAGTCTCTTCCAGCTCTATAACTCTAATACTTTATCATGGAGAATGAATGGGAGACTAGGAAGCTACTTGATTCATGTATCAGAAATGCTTCTGAATTCTTGCCAAATTAAGGTGAAGGAATGTTTTGGTTTGGAGATTTATTTTAACTTTTTATAATATTTAGACACTATTGGCAGTGGCTACCTACGTATGCATTGTGAGTCAGAATGGAGTGAGACGTTTCAGAACACACCTCACTAGATTGGATTGCATGAACCTGAAAAAGGCAGATCCGCAGAACTCTGGGGAGCCATCCGTATGTCATTTACTGGGTATTCCTGCGTGCCATGGGCCAAAAGGGTTCCTCTGTAAGGGTCTGTGGGCACAGCCCTTGGATAGTATCAGTATTCTTACTCACAATTAGGTTTTGTCAGTTGCACACGGTAGGCAGATGCAGTGTTGCTGTTCTGCTGACGGAGCTGTTTCCACCAGCAAAATCAGGGGAGGGGGTTTCCTCTCCCTTACAGCCTCCAGTGTGTCCTTCAGACCTGGAGCAGCGGGATGGGAAAGCCCACCAGAAGAGGGTTTCAAGTGGCCTGGAGGAGCGACAAGGGGCAGGTATCTCCTAGTATGACACTGAATGTCTTAGTGGGACATGAGCAAGGTCTCATTTTATTTTATTTTATTTTATTCATGGTGAAATCCTGTGTGTTCTTCCCGGAGCCCTCTTTGGCGGCTAGGCATGAAGAAGCGAGCAAGGAAAAGGAAGGTTCTTTGCAAGAGTCAGAGGTATGGAAATACAACAGTGCTTGAAATGAAGGGAAAGTTCATTTGAAAAGAAGAGACTGAGCCAATGGACCCTACAATAGAGTATGGCAGGAAGGGCATCTTGTGCTGTTCCTCCTTCATGCTCTATAGAGCCCATCACCAGGAGTTCAGGATGTCCTCTGAACAAAAATGGAATTTTCTTCCTAGAGTGGGTCCCATAACCATCGTTGGAACCCAACGGTCTGGGCCCTGTAGCGATCCTGTCGTCTGCCTACGCGGTTCTTGCTGGTCTCGGCTGAAGCACCCTTTCCCTTGAGTCCGAGGGTGGCCTTTGTCCTCTGGTCAAAGACCTGGCTGGGGAAGCCCTTAAAGCTGAGGAGGTTTTTAGAAAATTATGAATATGAAATATGATAGCTTCACTTTGAAATAAAGGATTAATGTGTGTTTTTTTCCTCACACAATATTTTCCCTCACACAATCCAAAACTAAGTCCCATAGAGATGACACTTGTCATCTTTTCTTTCCAGGGAGCTGGAAGAGCCAGCGTTAGCTGACATCCAATCTCGGTCTTATTCCACATTTGCTCAAGTAAGTGTGTAAAAAACCGTACTCGTTAATTCTCTGCCTTTGTAAGGATGGATTCTTAAAACATATGACTGTCATCTTATTGCCTTTTCCATTTTTCTGCATGGTGCAGAAATTCTTGACTATTCTGATTTCTATCCTTGATTTATGTTTGGAAATATACATCGTTCTGACTTGCATCCTGAACAAGAAAAGTCTGCACTAAAAACATAATGACCATGCCAACAGTTTTCTGTGTCCCACTGGGAAAATGTGCCCTGTAAGAAGCAGCTAGAGATAGCAGGGCATCCAAGTCGCTTTGTATACCTCTAGAGCCTTGCCTTGCAAGGCAGGTACACTGCAAAGGCACATACACACCCCTCAATATGAGTGTTGTATAATTTTTGCCAAACTAGCAGACTATAGCACTGGTATATAAGGATTTAAAACACAACAAATTCCTTTTTACTCCCTGACCAAAATCCTGTTGCATGGCTGCACCTTTGTAACATGTTGCTCCAAGAGTTGCCACATGTCAGGCCAAGGCAGAATGTCAAGGAAAATTGTAGGCCTGACCAGAATGAAGTGATTTAACGAGAAGCCATAACTGTCAGGTGTGCTGAAACTGAATCAGGGTGACTCAGCAGAGATGATGCAACCCAGAGATGATGTAATGCAATGAGGTAATGTGTAACCTGATTGACTATGTGTATGTATATATGTAGAGCTTTACAGTTAGTTGTATCTTCGCCTGCTTGAAGATCACATCTGCCTGCCATGCTGCCAGACTGCTGTATATATTTGATGTAAATACACTATGCTGAAGGAAATGCTGCTGGACTGCGTGTGAATTATTCCTGGACTGCCTGAACCACCAAATACTCTGCTAAACCGCTGAGAAACCTGACACAGAAGTCCAACCCCGCCAGCAGCTTTGCAGCCATGCAACTAGCGACACTGTCCATTGCACAATCAGGTGCCTGATGAGGATTAGCTAGCTGGCAGTCCCTTAGGAACATCTGCAGGCGTCACTTTCTCCTATGTCAAGTGCCATAGGATTCCAACCCGTGAGTGACGAAAGAGCCAGAAAGGTGTGGGAGATTTGATATCTTGGATAATATTTTTCTAAGGTCAGAAATAACCATAAAGAGAGACTTAACTAGACCAGAGCTGTGACCTTGACCTGTCCGTTTGTACCATTTCTGTGGTTGAAACTGTACCCCTTCTCTGTATTAAATACACTTATTCCTCAGTCTTCCACTGTGGCCTGTTTTACTTACCTGAACTGAACCCCCTTTCTAGACTTCTCAATCAAGTTGGCATTGCCCAAGGAAGCTGGAGTCTTCTGAGTCTGGCTCGGATCATGGGAAAACTACATCACAGAGAGCTAAGAAAGGTAGAAAAAGGCTACAACCAACACAGAAGACAAAGACTGTGCCAAACAGAAGGAGCTGCCATGATGAGAGACTAGGCGGTGGGGTGGGGGGTGGGAATTAACGACTAACTCTAGTGGTTGACCGTTTGCTCCTAAGCTCTGTCTGGGCCCCTCCTTTTAAAGGATATAAAGCCCTTTGTGCTGCGTCTGAGTAACGAGCACAACTTCCTCCCTGTAAATTCATCTGGATGCTGAAAGCGCCAAGGGAGGCCTTCTTACCAGGCCTGATGTTCTTGGAGGTGTGGCTGTGTGGGAAGGAGTGGGGTGTGAAAAAGATTTCTCCATGATTGTACAACTCCTTCCCCATCTTGGATCCCCATTATGTTGAGACCCTTTGTTGTTGTTGTTGTTGTTGTTCAGATCTTTGGAAATGGAGGAGCTTGTGGTGCCTCTCCCCACCCCTGCCCTGACTGAATTATTGTATTGGATTATTGTAGGAAGAGAGTTTTTACAATGGTATTCCTTTAGAATATTTATAGACTGGGACAGCCCTTCTCAAGCTTTTTTTTTTTTTTGCTTGAGAAAGAAGTAGAGGCTAAATTGGGATTATATAAATCACATCTGCACACCTCATAATGTGGCGTGAAGAATTGTTTGCAACCTGTGGCCGCCTTCAAATGTGCCAGTCTCTCCCCTCCCCCAGGCCGTATGGCCCCTACAGAAGACTTAATCAGGTGCAGAAAGTCACTGAGAGGGAGCAGTGGTGAGCCACTCCTTGAACATTTCTAAAACCTTGAAAATGCTGTTAGGGTTGCCATAAGTTGGAAGTGACCTGAGGGCTCACAACAGCGATAACAACAGAAAGAACAGACCACAGGCACATCCAGGTCCTTTCATTAGCTTCGGACTAGCAAGATAGTGTTGCATCGAAATAGCATGCTGTCATAGAATCCTAGGAAAGGGAAGTTGGAAGGGCCTCCGAGGCCATCCAGTCCAGCCCCCTGCTCAACCCAGGAAGACCATCAGAGCATCTCTGCCAGGTGATGATCCATGTCTCTCTTGGATGCCTCCAGTGTTGGAGCACTCACCAAACCCCGAGGTCACTGGTTCCACTGTCGTACTGCTCTAACCGTTAGGAAGTCATATTTACTGGCCAGGATATAATACAACTTGGGTCTGGAGCTGAACTAGAGATAACTTTTCCTTGATTTCCCCATCATTTTTGCAGGGCTCTTGCAATCCATAAGGGAGCAAAGTGCCAAGAACCTGAGTATGCCTGTGATCGCAGAGGGTGAGAGTGAAGAAGACGACCATACAAGTGAGGAGGGTAGGTCGAATGGTGATAAAGGGGTGATGTGGGTTTTTTTTTACTTTATATGCTGGTGGTTCCCTTTCTCCCTCCCCCCCCCAGAAGAGCTGCACTCTGCCATGCCCACATTGCTGATAGCTTGCCACCATGGTGAAGCTTCCTGACCCTGTACTTGGTCCATCTAGAACATTCCAAGCCATTTTTCTTCAGCCCAGCGATAGGGAAAAAAAAAATAAAGAGAACGTTATTTTACATTTTCTTGTTTCAAGCCCAGAAGCACAAAAGCCTGAAACACAGGCATCTTGCAGCCATGTGGGACTAGGCAATGTTTAATGAAGAGCTCCCATTTTTAAACCAACACAGCCAAAGGTTCAGACGTAAAGAGGAGCTGGTTTAGGAAGGAAGGGGAAGAAAACAGTCTCTCTCATGCACCGACGAGCAAACATGCACTTCCAAATGAAGCCAATCTTACATAGTGAGTTGTGTTTTTTTTTACTCAACAGAGTAGTCTCCTGGGTTCCACAGTTTACGTGGAGTTAATTTGCAGAGAGGATGATCCGAGGGAGAGCAGCTTGGTCTCTGTTTAAGATTTTATCAGCCTGGCACTTTGAGGTGTGAGCAAAGTCTGACTTGCAGGCTTCAGAGTGCAATAAAAGCTGGCATCACCAAGGTCGGGTTGATCCACCTGTGTTCTGTCCTGCATTTCGGATGTCCGGCACCCGGTCAGCATCTCTGGGAAGGACACTGTGTTCATTATGACCCTATGCTTGAATTAAAAGTGCTAGTCAGTTCAGAGCTGATCGGACCATTGCGCTAAAGAGCTTATATCTGTTAAGGCTAGAAGCTGATGGGAACAAAAAATGAGGTGGAGGACGCCTGGTGAAATCCCAAAGGTTCTGGGTGCCGTTGGAAGCACCATTGAACTTTCTGGAGATTGTAGTGGCTTGTAATGGAGGACATCCTGGCATCTTGGATAACATGGTTGAAGAAGTGATGCAAGGTCAACCCTCTCTTCACACTTCTGGTCTAATGTGTCACTTGGGTGTCCTTTCCAAAGGGAGATGTGACACAGTGGACTTCCTCTTCCACTTATTTAACACCCTTCTCCACTTAGAGATGTTAAGAGTTATCCAGTAGACTGGGGATCAGCTTTGGGGATGGCTGTTGTCTTCGTGCTGTGCTTGTGAGTTTCCTCTAGGCATCTGGTGGGTCACTGTGTAAACTAGATGCCCTTTTGGTCTGTTCTAGCCCAGCCTTTGACTCCTGGCTTCAGCAAAATGACTGGGTTTCCTTGACCTTGTCCGGGTAGCGGTTCTTCATTTCTTCTTCATGGTCTGCTGCTGACTTTTTGGATGATGACTGCTTTCTTTCTCTCATTTCCAGATTATGTACCGACGAAGAAAAAGAAAAGGACTCATTAAGAATACATTCAGATTTAAAAGACCGTGTAGACATTGGCTTAGTGTGGGTCAGAGGTGTCTCCAGCTAAAGAAAACAAGCCAAGTAGCTCAAATCCACCTTATAAACTGCTTTAGATCTGTGTTCGAGTTAAGAAGCTAGAAAGACAAGGGTCGGAATTAGAGAACTTACCATGGAAGAAGAACATTGTATCGTTGATGACCTGCAGAGGGAATTTCGTCATTCCATCTTTTTTCTTGTAATTTTCCAGAGCTTATCCTTAATGTTTGTTGTATGTAAATTATAATGGATCACTTGTTGAATTGTAAAACATTCTTTCTGCATTCTCCTGTCATCTTGACTTCTGTTAAGTGTGTGCCTGCTTTTCTGTAACCATGATTTAGGTTTCTGGCTGAGAAGCCAGAGGTTAGGAGTTCGATTCCCCACTGTGCCTTAACAGAGGGGCTGAACCTGATAATCACTAGGGACCGCGTCTGGCTCTTAAGGAGTGGCTTTACCAGTTCCACACCTTGCATGGCTGAGCAGGAAGGGATTCAAACCATGGTCTTCAGTCCAGTCCATCACTATCCACTACACCACATGGGGTTCCTAAATCCCAATTGTCTATGTCAGATCACCGCAATCCATCCATCGAGGAACCGCCAACCCGCCGCCATCCTTGGTGCAACCTCCAGGCAGCCAGGAAAAGGGTCCTTCTGGAGGCCTCCTCTCCCCTTGCGGCCCCTCACCTGGCAACAAAGAGACGCTTCCCCATGCCCATCCATGGGGCGCTCTTGATGATGGGGTCCGGCTAGGGTTGCCAGATACATGGATACCAAAAGGAGGACATAGGATGAAAAAGAGGACAGAGGACGTATGAAATATTTCTTTTGAATCATTCCAGATTAATCCCGCAATCAATACAATTTTATTACAATAGCTACCAATAAATTCTCTTAGTGAACTGACCAAGAAACAGTAAAAAATAAAAATAAATACAATGAAGTTTTTTTTTCAAAAAACCAAAAAAAGAGAGAAAAATTAAATAGCCAATTGTACAATTATTACCTTATAAACTTTATTAATTGCACAACATATTTCTCGGGGAAGTCAACTTTTCGCAGATCTTCATTAGCAATCATATCTACATCAAACTGTTCACAGGTAATATTCTTCAAACTGGACTTCCGATTGGGAGCAAAGCAAATAAATCTGAACCCACCCTGGCCCAGCTGCAGGATCCCCCAGCCAGTTGCACTCTGCACAGGCTCAGAGGCATGTTTGCTAATCTGGATGCCCAAACAAGGCTCCGGTGCAGATTGGGGGAAAGTGGCACTGGGCAAAGCCAAATGAGGCAGCCTCCCCTCCCGCGAGGGTAATCAGTTCAAGGCTGGGGAGTGTGGGTGTTGAAGTCCCCAAAAGGGACTTTCAACACAAACAGTCCAGGCGCTCACCTTCCCATTGATGCCCTCAGGCGCTGCTTGCTCCTGCCTGGCTTGGTGGGCGGCGCTCCACTTGCACTGCCTTTCTGGGCTCCATGTGGGCTGGGCAGGCATGGCGGATTGCCGAGCAGCAGCCACCATGGTGAGAGAGACCGAGGGCTGCATTCCGGCACCAGTGGCAGGTAACGGGTGGCCAAGTGCAGGAAAAAACAGAGAGGGGGTCCTTCTACCTATCCACCTCTCATCCAAAATTATAAAATATTAAAAAGCCAGACATTTTAAAGGCTTTTATCTTTGCCTGCCAGACTGAGATTAGGCTAAAAAGGAGGACATGTCCTCCTTTTGCAGGACATCGGGCAACCCTAGGTCCGGCCTGGTTGATCTAGGGTTGTAAGCTGCCTGGCCAAGACGACAGCATGCCCGGAAAGGTGTATTAAAAAGAAATGGGCTAAATCACAAGCACGGTCAGTCTGGCCCCGGTGGGACAAAGGTCCAGAGGGGACTTGGGGGGCCAGGACAAGTCTGGGAAAGGGGTGCAGCTCGGCCTGCGGGGCCTCCCGACAAGTGGGGGGAGGCACTGGCTTGCGTTTTGGCGGGGGGGCCAGGACAAGTCTGGGAAGGGGGTGCAGCTCGGCCTGTGGGGCCTCCCAACAAGTGGGGCGAGGCACTGGCTTGCGTTTTGGCATGCGCTGTGTCCCGGTGAGGGTGAGCTTGTTAAATATATCTATATATTGAGAGAGAGAGAGAGAGAGAGCGCTCCTGATGAGCGAAAGCATGAGGAAAGCCTCTCGCCTTCCCCGGACAGCACATTGGAGGAAGGCAGGAGCTGAAGAAAACATTGGCCTTTTCCCCCCACTTCTCTTACGCGGGTCTGTCTCACCACGGTGGAAAAAAAGATGAGAAAGGCAACCGAAAGAGCGGCGCCAGCTGCTCCCTCCTTCTTGAAGAGGGGCTGAGAGGGGCTCTTCCATGCTCCTTGGTCACTCTGGGCACCCCTCCCCTCCCCAGGTGTCCCTCCCATCAGTTGAAAAGCCCCCTCCTTGGGATCGTGCAAGGGAAGATTGGGGGTTACCAAAACAAAGTGGGTTGGGGAGAGGGAGAAGGACTGGAAGGGGTGGAGCCCCAAAGGGGGGCAGAAACAGGAGAGGTGACACCCATATGGGGGTTGCAAGAGCCTCGTGATTCCTTCCCCCCCCAACAGGGTCTGCCAAGCATTTCACGAGCCCTTCACATGTTGGGACACATCCAAGGAAGCCATGGTTTCCAAGAACTCAAGAGCTGCTCCTGTGGCCTCAGCCTTGGCAAGAACATTAGAATCTCCCAGGACAATAAACCTCAGGGACCTCAATGTCAACGCTGAGACAAGGACCATCAGCTCCGAACTGGAGAGTGCTGGGTCACAAGAAACATGGTAAGCCAGCATCCTCCCTAAGCTGTCCCTGGCTCCCACCAACACATAGAATGCAGAGAATACTTGTCAGATTTGTGGATGACAAAAAATTTGGTGGAATAGTGAATACCCTGAAAGACTGAAACAAAACTCTACATGATCTTGATACGCCGGAGCACTGAGCTAAAAACTACAAATTTGGAACAGATCTTAAAGCGGTCATTGTGCTAGCACCAAGAAAACAAGGCCGTAACAACTAGAAGCCAACATGGATTTGTCAAGTCCATATCATGCCAAACTTATTCGATCACTTTTTTTTTGATCAGGTAACCTCCCAGATAGACAGAGAAAATGCTGTAGACGTATTCTATGTTAACTTCAGCAAAGCTTTTGACCAAGTGCTCCATGATCTTCTAATTGGTACACAGTTGGCTACAGAATTGTACTCAGAGGATGATGATTAATGGCACCTTCTCTAACTGGGAGGAAGTCACAAGTGGGGTAACCCAAGGCTCAGTCGTGTGCCCGGTGCTTTTCAACATTTTTATTAATGATGTGGATTGGGGATGCAGGGGATGCTAATCAAAATTGCGAATACAGTGGTGCCTCACTTAAGGATGTTAATTCGTTTCAGTAAAATAGCTGTAGAGTAAAAACATCGTAAAGCGGTAAAATAAAGCAAATTGAAACGCATTAAAAAACGTTTAATGCGTTACAATGGGCTGAAAAACTCACAGTCCAACGAAGATCCTCCATCTAGGGAGTGCCTAGCTAACTACACCAGAGCACAGAGTGCTGTCCTCTGAAGATGCCGGCCACAGAGACTGGCAAAACGTTAGGAAAAACAACCTTCAGAACATGGCCAAAGAGCCCAAAAAACCCACAACAACCACAATCTGAGAATTGTCGTGGATCACAAGCTAAATAAGAGCCAACAGTTTGATGTGGCTACAAAAAAGGCAAATGCATTTTAGGTTCACTGTGAGTTCTTTGATGGGAACTCAGGGAACTGATCTGACTGAAGCTCTTTCCACATTCCATGCATT